TTAGCATATGCATCTGTGCACTACTTAATGTGTTTGCAATTTTGCATAATATTTCATATGTTGGGTGACGCATGTATGATGTGTTTGCATGTTGTATTTGGTAGATGCATGATGCATTTGTATGTTATTTGATGTATGCATTATATGTTGACATGTTGCCCCACATGTATGCATAATATGCATGCATGTTGTATGCTTACAAATCTGAGTACTTGCATGTGTATTCATATGCTTGCATGTGAATTTGTATGTGCATTTTGTGTAGCAAACTTGCACATTTGCATGATTTTCGATATGCACACGCAAATTTTTGTATGATCAGTAATATGTTTATATATCAACATACATGCCAATGCGGTGCACTCATATGATTAGAGATACAAATACACGCCACTTAACACATTTATATAATGTGTTTGTATGTCTTTGGTAGACACGCATTATATAATAGGGGGCTCGTAGGCAATATCTTTCAATGATTTGGTACGTCACAAGCACTTTAATGAAGGATCGTACAACTCGTGGCACGTAAAAAGTGTGTTATTTTATTTATTTTCAAAGAAAAATGTTCACCGGGTGTATGATATATTCTCGGAGCACATACGAGTCTCATGACTCTAACAACTGGCATGTACACTGCTTAGGGCAACTGTGCACCCGTGAGTCCTCCCCTTATCATTTTTGTGCTTAGAGTTTGGTTCAATGGGTTCTATAAGGGGATCAATTTTCTATGTTATAAATAGAGAACCCAACCCTAATTCATTTATTTGCACATTTTAGTTTAGAGTGCGTGTTGCTAAGGGATCTAAGTGTGCACGTGCACTAGGAGCTAAGAGGGGAAAGTTTTAGTACATATATTGGCGAGCAATTTAGTTCTCCTACTAATTTGATATAAGTTCTATCAGTTATACTTTGATTTAATAGAGATTAATGATATTAAAAGTATGTTAGATGTTCATAACGATTGACAACGACACAACATGTGTTATCATATTGATGCATTTAGCAACGGGGATCGTGGCTTTAATTTAGAGTAAGTGCCAACAAGAAATCATGCTTCGCAAAGTCGGATAATAACTAAATCACCCACATTAAATGCCTTGTGTATTCACTGTTGATCAACTCACTACCAGTAACTCTATCTTCCTTCAGTGTGTTTGCCCTTCACATTTTGCAGTATATTGTCAAAATAGACAAATAGTTTATCTGCATGTTTGTCGTGTGGTTTAGGAAGCATGATGACATCCATGATGTGATTGGGAAATTGTGTAAATAATACAAAAAGGGCTCCTCCATGTGGATTGATTGACCATGGAATTGAAAGTAAATTTTGCTTGTCCAGATATCTCATCCCATTGTGTAGTATGATCTCCAGCGAGGGAACAAATCATATTACCTAATGTGTGGTTAATTACTAACATTTGATTGTTTTATTGAGGGTACTATACAAAACTCAAATGGAATTTAATTTGTATAAGTTTTCACAATTCTTGTCAAAAGTAACTAATAATTGGTCGCCACAATCTAAAGTCAGGCATTAGGTTATACCATAGAGTCGGACAATATCCTTAAAGGATAATTTAGTTATATTGACAACACCGAACGCCTTTTATAAGTAATAAAATTGGTCATTTTTTTAGAAACAGATTGCAATGAACATGACCAAATTGACACCACACCTGGTCGTGTAAGTTCAAACACAAAATCTATGCTAAGGTCTTCCCAAATTGAGTTTAGGATCAAGAAAGGAGTGTACAACCCCATGTTTTATAATGTACCCTTGAATGTTTGGCAAACCAAGAACCTTTTAAAAAATCTACAAACATCTTTGCACAATTTAGGCCAAAGCAATTTGAATTCAATGAAAAATAATCTAAATTAAATGACGGGGGAGTATCTTGTCCCTACCAATGAGTCGTGAGGCCAACAACACCAATCTTAATTGATTGATGGAATAATAATATGCTAAAGATACACGATTGATTTAAAAATATAATACTGATGGATAGAGAAATCACCTATTGATGTGCAAGATGTGAATTTTACCCAAGGAATTGCAAAATTGAAGACTTTGTCATAAACCTCATAAGAAGTTTCTAATCTAGTGATATTGGACTAAACTGCAACCAATAATCTAACTCATCTGCTCAATGTGTTTGCCACCTAGTTAGTGCTCCATGCTTTTTGTTTTAAAACAAAACTATTTTTTATATAAAAAGTACCCACCGCACATGCATGTGACTCAAATTTATCTATACAAATTTTCTTATGAATGCAGTAATTGAATTGAACGATAATCACTAAACAACATAAATTGTTAGAGTAATAGGTATGACTCCCATTGCTTGAGTGCTCGTACCCCTGCATGACACTCAGGTATAAACATACTGTCATTGCCTATTGGCGCTCAACTTCTCATAGAAAATATCCATATTTTTTCCTTCTTGAGATAGCATCACCTTATTTTGATAACTGATGCAACCATTACTTGGAATGGTTTGTGTCAAAATTGAGGATTGCTAACAATGGAACTGAGCAGAGGCATCTTTTGGGCCCCATGAAACTTTTGCTTCAAACATTAGTTTATGAACAAATTAATCAAACTGAAGTATTGAATAAGGCAACAATAAAAATTTTCAAGTCTATGAAAGCTGTGAATTCCGATGATTATGGTCGACAATGGCTATATATGACTTCAATTTTCTTCGGACCAATTTATAAGCCATGCATGCTGACAAATAAAAACCCAAGAAGAGGACATTTTCAACACCGAATTACATTTGGGAAGGATAATGTAAAGTTTGTGATCGCTTAAGAAACTGAGTAGAAATATGACATACCTCATTCATTTGTCACATGAAGATGCAAGATGAATTACATAGGACTAAAGGCATGACTCCCCACTAACATAATACTTTCTGAGTTTTCAACATTGTTTTCCATTCATCATCTACTCAAATTCTGATTTTGTGGCAATCGCTTCGCAAATCCAATTTAGAGAAAATACAGTCATTATGGAACATTTTTAAAATATCCTCCAACCAAAGCATCAGAGATCTAACTTGAACTATAATTTTATTTATCACTCTGCTATCTACACGTATTCTCTATGAAGTGTCCTCCTCTAAAATGATTGAAGTTGGAACCATGCAAAGATTGAGATTGTGATGGTTGAGTTGTTTTGAAGTTCGTCATAACCTATGCCTTGTAAAATTATGTTCTTTTGAACGCATCTTGTAATGTGGTTGATTAGGCAATGTTGCTCCAGACATGTGATTGATTTGAAGTTGTTCATATGTGTGGGAGATAGTTTTGTAATTCAACAGGTTTAACATCTTTGAACTGTTGTAGAAGTAATTGTAAAACAATTGGGATATCTAGCAAAGTGGAGTTTTGCTCAGCGATTAAAACAACAAAAATTTTAGCTAATGTTCAAAATGCAGTGAGTATTTGGGAGGCTAATATACTCATAAAGGTTGCTCTGACTACAAAAATCCTTTTTAAATGAATCACTGTGTAAGTAATTTGATCTTCTTACCTTTTTAATCGAAAGTATAGGAGTTGGATTGACAGTCAAACCACGCACCCATCTAAAATTGTCATGGTCCCCCTAGAATTAGGCGACAAACATTCATTTCAAGTACATCGCAAAGGACTTTGACACACAAAACTTTTACCAATGGAGAAGGTGACTTCACACATCTCTGTCACCGTTACTTTAAGGCCTTTCTTAATCTATCTAATTTTATAAGAATGTTAGTGTTTGAATGACTTTAATTGTAGGACCTCTTCTATGCATCCACTGTCCACCAAAAATACATACCTTAATGTTGATAGTACATGACATCCAGGAAGACTGGGTGATGCTAAGTGATGACTAGTTGTTTAGGAGTGAGAAGAACCTTCTTAATGATGCAAGACAGAAGTTTTCTTTAGTAACATCTTCAAACTATTCAACGCCAAAGAGCAAAAAAATATCAATTTCATCATCAATCTCACCATCTAACAATTGTATTTGACATCCATTCGAGCATTCATCCAACCAGTGACCTAATTGAAAACATCAGAAACACTTTGAGGGCTTAGGTCTATTACATATGTTGTCTCTATTAGTTCCATCCAAGGTTTAAAATTACGTAATTGGGTATTGAGGCGTTTTTTGTTCATGAGGCGAAGCGTAAACCTCAAGACATTTTGAGACGTAACCCTCCAAATCCAAAAATTGCAAGGCATTTTGAGACGTAACCCTCCAAATCTAAAAATTGCGTAAAGTGAAAATAAAGGTTAAAAATGATGTTTTATATAATACCTAAATAACATATTAAAGGATGATATTAACTTCCTATTGAACTATGAAGTAATAAATTAGCATACATATGAAATAAGAAATTGCAAATATGTAAAATGGCAAGTGATAGATAGTGTGAAATAAAATTGAAATTCAAATATTAAAAGAGCAAAATAACATAAAATATATGAATTGTATAAAGATATCATAAAACATCAAGTTCAACTCCAAATTTCTTCTCAATTTCCTACTCATCCACATTTAATTCCTAAATAAAACTAAAATAGTTGGCAACAACTCAGAAATCATATGCATTGTCATCACTAAGTATTATCACTAAGGGGGTCTTTATTTGAATCATTGTCATAACAAATTGGTCACTCCCTTATCTCATCTTGTGGTGTCCAATGCCTCTTAATCTACTTCTTCTTCATTTATTTCAATCATCTTCCTCTTTCATAAATGTTTGTCATCAACATAAAGATGAGAGTAATACTCCAAAATTTTTAGAGGAAGGGGTAGCGGTGATGTGTGGCATTCAAGTTATCCTTAACAACAGCTATAACGGAGGTGGCTGTGACGAAGGTGCTGGGCTGGAGGTCGAGGAAGTCGAGAAGTGGCTACGGCTTAAGAGTGTATGAAGACATGATTTGTTAAGGGCTTTAGTTTAGAATTTATGTAAGTTTTAATATATATATATATATAGGGTGAGGGTACGCCTCACCGAGCGAGGCAAGGCGCGCCTGCGTCTCAAGACGGGCTCAGCCAAACTAAGGTGTAAGCCTCATAAAAAATGTTTGAGGCATAAACTTTAAGGCATTTTTCACTATAATTGCACTGAGTCAAGCCTCCTATTGTGCAATTTAAACAATAGTTCCATCTCTTGCTGAGAGTTTTGAGTCACCGGTTGAAATATTAGAATTAGATGTTTGGGATTAAAGGGGGCCCAACTTAGTTATTAGAGAAGCACTTTTAGCTCCATACGTCGGTTGTTCAAAAACATGGCACTTATCAACAAAGGATTTTGGATTCCAAATGGAGTTGCAATTTTGTTTTGTAAGATTAATTGATATTCTATAATAATTAACAAACCAATTTAATGTCAAGCGTATCTTTAATGAAAATTTTCAAACCTTTAATATAACAAGCTACTAGTTATTGAGTCGACTCATTCAGATGTTCTAAGAACTACTCTGATAAAATTCTTCAATGTAGCTGCTAACAATCAAGTTTCCTTACAAGCACCTTCGATATTATAAGAAAAACATTTGCTAGTAATCAAAGGGAAGAAATGTCCATTTATGAGTTGTTTCATTCTAATCCATTTTTTTTAACATTTTCCTTTCCTTCTTATTGGTGGGATTGAATTAATTGCAACCATCATTAAATTTGCAAGCGATATACTAGACTTCCTTTTATGTGGGAATATTCATGTACTCGAAAAATGCCTCAAACATTTACTCCTAATCAATGTAATCTTCAATGTGTAGATCAACATTAAAAAAGGATGTCTGATTTTACCTTGAGCTCAATATAGTTTCATATACAGCTCACCTTGGCATATTGGTTGAGAGCTTAGACATCCAACTAAGAGGTCTTAGGTTCGAGTCTTTGTGTATGCATTGTGTGTGTGAGTTTGTCTTAAATGGCCTAAATGTCCCAAAAAATATGTAGTTACACTGCTGACGAAATTGTGGTGACGTGGTTGTTTTAAGAATAGGAGCTCAACTTCCAAATCAGAGTCCAAATAGTTGTTCCAGCAACAAGGAAGATTTCCTCATCAGACTTAGAAAACTCGGAGCACGTCAATTGATGATATCTTTGGGGTTCCCGCATAACCCAATTCACCACAACAAGATCACCCGTCGCTGGTATGGTTGCCAGGTTCTCTGGTATAATTGCCGGTAGGGCAGCGTTGATGTTCCTGAAGTCGTGAAGCTCTCATGTATCTCAACCACAAAATGTTGGAAATCTCTAGCGAGAATCCAATTTTTGCTCAAAGATGGCTGGTGATTCTCACATTAGCTCCCAGTTGTGATCTTGGCGTGCCGAACCGTTACCGCCGTCTGTTATCCAACTCGGATACCAGCTTGGTGTAAAAACCAGTAATTCGTGGGAGGAAAAACGAGAAAGAACAACTTTCTTAAAAAGTAATATCAATTATGTCCTTGCACTCGTTTGATTGGAATAATATACTACACAATGCTTCACTTGCAGACAAAGAACTATTGAACTAATAACAGAAGTAAAGGAGGTGATCAGGACTTAAATAAAAAAAGGTAGAATAACGAGACGGGAGTGAGGTCGGTGATTGCCATCTTACTCCAATTTTTTTTATTTGCTAGCTGCATCAGAAACGGATCCATCGCCTTGAATGGAAGCCTGGGAAGGAAGTGGGAGCAATTGGCATTGATCTTAGGGCCGCGGCTGAGTCATAGGCTATGTTGCACCGATACGGATACGGTGACATGAATACGACACGATACAAATACGGGACACTTCAATTCTTAAAAATAGAAGATATGGGTACGGCGTGGATACGACATTGTAATTTATAAATCATACCTAAAAATTAAGAAAGTAATCAAGGCATAACATTTGGAATTACAAAACAAAATGACAACAACATCATTTCTAGCCTTGTAGCTTATAATATCAAAATATAAGCATTAAATGTCCAGTACAACAACAAAAGCATAAACATAAATTATCTAGCACATAAGTTTCAACTATTCAATAGAAGGAATGATATAATTATCTTCTTTAATTGTTTGTCTTAGAGCTTCTATATCATCTTCAATAAATATCATAGCTTCTAATTCATTCTCATCAAGTGAAAGATTAGTAAATTTTAATATTTTCATATCATCAAGAGGCTCAAATCCATCTCGGAAATGAGAGAATCTTGCTCGCAACCGCGGAAATAAATACGACACGTCTTTTTTTCAGATTTTTTGTTTTTCAACAGACACGCGTATCCTTTTGAAATTAAATAGTATTTTAATTGGATACGGCTTTGGCGTATCCGACACATATCGGTGGAGTATCGGAGGCGTATTCGTGTATCGGTGTATCAGATACAGCACGCCTTCATAAATAGGTGTATCGGTGCAACATAGGTCATAGGCGTAGTGTACCAAATTCCACGCAGTCGAAGGCGCCAAGCTAGACTCTCCTCTTCTTAGCAGGGTCCCGCATCTCGGCACCTAAGCGGGCCCATGACCTCTTGTGGACGCCCCGAAAGCGCATCCGGGTGCCCCGCGGCCGCTGCTAGATAATAAAATTGAAATTCAAATATTATAAGACTATAAGAGCAAAACAACATAAAATATATGAATTATATAAAGATATCATAAAACATCAAGTTCAACTTCAAATTTTTTTCTCAATTTCCTACTCATCCACATTTAATTCCTAAAGAAAACTAAAATAGTTGGCAACAACTTGGAAATCATATTCATTGTCATCACTAAGTGTTATAACTAAAGGGGTCTTTTTTTGAATCATTGTCATAACAAATTGGTCACTCCCTTATCTCATCTTGTGGAGTCCAATGTCTCTCAATCTACTTCTTCTTCATTTATTTTAATCATCTTCCTATTTCATAAATGTTTGTCATCAACATAAAGATGAGAGTAATACTCCAAAATTTTTAGAGGAAGGGGTAGTGGTGATATGTGGCATTCAAGTTATCCTTGACAACAGCTATAACGGTGGTGGCTGCGACGAAGGTGCTGGGCTGGAGGTCGACGAAGTCGAGAAGTTGCTACGACTTAATAGTGCATGAAGACATGATTTGTTAAGGGCTTTAGTTTAGAATTTATGTAAGCTTTAATAAATATGTATATATATATATATATATATATATATATATATATATAGGGTGAGGGTACGCCTCAAGAGCGAGGCGAGGCGCACCTGCGCCTCAAGAAGGGCTCAACCAAACTAAGGTATAAGCCTCATAAAAAAAGCTTGAGGCATAAACTTTAAGGCATTTTTCACTATAATTGCAATGAGTCAAGCCTCCTATTGTGCAATTTAAACAATAGTTCCATCTCTTGCTGAGAGTTTTGAGTCACCGGCTGAAATATTAGAATTAGTTGTTTGGGATTAAAGGGGGCCCAACTTAGTTATTAGAGAAGCACTTTTAGTTCCATACGTCGGTTGTTCAAAATCATGGTACTTATCAACAAAGTATTTTGGATTCCAAATCGAGTTGCAATTTTGTTTTGTAAGATAAATTGATATTCTATGATAATTAACAAACCAATTTAATGTCAAGCATATCTTTAATGAAAATTTTCAAACCTTTAATATAACAAGCTACTAGTTATTGAGTCGACTCATTCAGATTGTTCAAAGAACTATTTTGATAAAATTCTTCAATGTAGCTGCTAACAATCAAGTTTCCTTATGAGCACTTTCGATATTATAAGAACAACTTCTGCTAGTAATTAGAGGGAAGAAATGTCCATTTATGAGTTGTTTCATTCTAATCCATTTTTTTAACATTTTCCTTTCCTTCTTATTGGCAGGATTGGATTAATTGCAACCACCATTAAACTTGTAAGCGATATACTAGACTTCCTTTTATGTGGGAATATTCATGTACTCGAAAAATGTCTCAAATATTTACTCCTAATCAATGTAATCTTCAATGTGTAGATCGACATTAAAAAAGGATGTGTGATTTTACCTTGAGCTCAATATAGTTTCATACACAGCTCATCTTGGCCTGTTGGTTGAGAGCTTAGGCTTCCAACTAAGAGGTATTGGGTTCGAGTCTTTGTGGATGCATTGTGTGTGTGAGTTTGCCTTAAATGGCCTAAATGTCCCAAAAAATATATAGTTCCAACGCTGACGAAATTGTGGTGACGTTTTTGTTTTAAGAATAGGAGCTCAACATCTAAATCAGCGTCCAAATAATTGTTCCGGCAACAAGGAAGATTTCCTCATCAGACTTAGAAAACTCGGAGCACGTCAGTGCATGATATCTTTGGGGTTCCCGCAGAACCCAATTCACCACAACAGGATCACCCGTCGCTGGTATGGTTGCCAGGTTCTCTGGTGTAATTGCCGGTAGGGCAGCGTTGATGTTCCTGAAGTCGTGAAGCTCTCATGTGTCTCAACCACAAAATGTTGGAAATCTCTAGCGATAATCCAATTTTTGCTCAAAGATGGCCGGTGATTCTCACATTAGCTCCTAGTTGTGATCCTGGCGTGCCGAACCGTTACCGCCATCCGTCATCCAACTCGGATACTAGCTTGATGTAAAAACCAGTAATTCATGGGAGGAAACCGAAGGCGGAAACGAGAAAGAACAACTTTCTTCAGAAGTAATATCAATTATGTCCTTGCACTCGTTTGATTGGAATAATATACTACACGTACAATGCTTCACTTGCAGACAAAGAACTAAAACAAACTATTGAACTAATGACAGAAGTAAAGGGGGTGATCAGGACTTAAATAATAAAAGGTAGAATAACGAGACGGGAGTGAGGTCGGTGATTGCCGTCTTACTCCAATTTTTTTATTTGCTAGCTGCATCAGATTCGGATCCATCGCCTTGAATGGAAGCCTGGGAAGGAAGTGGGAGCAGTTGGCATTGATCTTAGGGCCGCGACTGAGTCATAGGCGTAGTGTACCAAATTCCACGCAGTCGAAGGCGCCAAGCCAGACTCTCCTCTTCTTAGCAGGGTCCCGCATCTCGGCACCTAAGCGGCCCCATGACCTCTTGTGGACGCCCCGAAAGCGCATCCGGGTGCCCCGCGGCCGCTGCCGCCGGCGAATGACCCTTCATTGATGCCATAGTGACGCCCCACAAGACAATTTGATTATTCTTCCACCACGTCCCACCTTTATGATTTTTTCTTCCTTTTTCTCCCTCCCTTTTCAGAGGGGAGATCAGCAACAACATCAACGTAGGCGCCGCAATCACCACTGGAACCGCTAAAAACGCCGCCAAATTTCTCTCCCACAGCTTCTCCTACGCCATCGAGCTCATCCGTATCTTCAAGACCAAATTCCTCTCACCATTCCGCGTTATTTAGTTCTCGCCAGGGACGATGCTTGAGAGGAAAGGGGGAGAGAGAGAGCGAGAGAGAAGAGAGAGAGAAAGGAAGGTGATCTTCTACCTTTGCTGCCCAACTTCTGCAGCGATCACCGATCGCATGAACGAGGGGAAACGGAAGAAGACGAATAGACGTGTTTGGAAAGTGGAACCAAAGTAGTCATAAAGTAGTGAGATTAGGTTTAGGCATTATATGGAAAATATGGAGGGAAGATGGATTAATTTTTAAACTAAATTCTAATTAAAAATTCATTAGCCATGTAATCAAAGAGAAAATTAAATTTTAAATTAGTTATTAATAGTTATAAGTCGCAGTCAAATGATACTTATATATGTATTAAATTAAAAAAAAAATATTAATCAATCAATATTATATTGAAATTTTTTTTTTATAGTTGTACAATCTATAAGTCAAATTTAATATGACTTGAGCTGTAAAGTTGCATTGAGTTGTCATATTTTTTGAGTTGTAAAATGTCTTATAAAATCAGTATGTATCATCAAATCATATATATAGGTTTGTATTATCTTATCATAAAGTCAGTAGCAATAAATTTGATTAAATGATTTTTATTATTTAGTTTATGATGGGTATTACTTAGTTGTTTATGATACCATGTCTTTAACTAGATTAGGGATATATGGATTTCATTTTTGTCTTTTCCCCTTTCATCTTTCCTAGATCATGTTCCCTAGCAAATCATTTACTTTACAATGCATTTATTGTATATTGCATTCACTTAATTTACAGTTAATCAAATAGCTCCTTAAAGTAAAAGGAATGCAGGATATAAAAAGAGTGTATTCCAAATACACAAGTTATTGCATTTTGGATGTATCTAGAATTCTTTAGATTTGGGTGATTTTAAAATACACAAATAATGCACCACCATTGTCACTGTCTGCTGGCCATTGCCGCCGCCACCATTTTCCCTCCGTCGTCGGCCACCACCCTTCAGTGCTTATGGTCGACGGCCACCGACCACTCTGACCACAATGCACTATACTCTATACATTGCATTAAGTTCACTTCAAACAAAAAAATAATCAAGTTATGTATTACTTTTACACTCATTCAAATAACTTCAAAATATTCCTTTTACACCTCATTCCTTTTAAACAATATTCCTTTTTCAAACAACCAAATAGCCCCTAAATATGATTTAATTTTTTTTTTGTTTTCATTTTATAGTAAAGAAATTTGTATATTCAAGCACATCAAATTTAAACTTGTAATAAATCAAATCGAAGAAAATATATGTTTGGTCCACCTTTGATAGTCTCTCTCAATCTTCATGTTTTGACTAGGAATTATTTACTATATGTTTTTTAGGCTCTTATTGAGAGAATTAAAGCCTAAAAATTTTAGCAATCCTATAAGATTAGTGCTCAAGGTCTCTTGCATCAATTGCTTGATTTCCATCAACCACCAAAACGCAACAAAAGGAAGGCTACATTCAAGTATCTTAAAATATATTTTCAAAAAGTGATAGCAAACCACAGAGACCAATCGACAAAATAACATAATGGATATAAATTGATTTGATTATTTAAATGTGATTTTTTTTTATGATATATATAAATTTTAAATTTTCTTTCTACCTTATATTTAAAATGTGTTCTTTATGAAACTTCAATAAACAAGTATGATTGTTATAATATATCAAAAAAATAATAATAACAAATGCAAGAATTACTAGTCGTATAGCAGTCATGTTACTTAACTATGAGTCAAACATATAAATGAAGTGCATAGTAGTGGTGTGCTGGCCAACCATTGGTGATCTATCGCTCAAAATGTTTTACAAAAGTTTTATTCCTATGGGATGTTATCCACTATTCGGGTGAACCAGTGTGAAACTCCTTAAGTAAAAGAAAGTTAAACTCTTAAACATCGAGATGCCTTTTGGTGTAATGTCTGGAATTTCTATAAGAAACTCTACAATTAAGTGTATTCATCCCGGAGCAATTTTGAGATAGGTGATCTACTGGGAAGTTACACCAATATGATAAAATCTTGAGGTCGTTAGGTCAAAGCAGACAATATATCGATAGTTAAGAGTTTAGGCTGTTACAAATGTTGTCAGAGCAATACACTAGCTGGAAGATGAGAATTGAGTATTAATTAAGACAAAGTGTTATGCCATAGGAGCCACCTTTTGAGCCCTACATGGGACAAAGTGCGACATGACAGGAGCCACCACTTGAACTTATAGGGGTCACCTCTAGAATCATATATGTATGGTGAATGATTATTGGATAATGATGCTGACGGGGACATCGATTACTTTAGTGGGGGAGATTATGAACCCCTTAAGTAAAAGAAAGCTAAACTCTTAAACATTGAGGCACCTTTGGGTGTAATTACTGAATTGTTTATAAGAAATTATGCAGTTAAGTGTGCTCATCCCAGAGCAATTCTAGGATGCGTGACTTATTGGGAATTACACCAACAGGACAAAACCATGATGCCCTTAGGCCAAAGTTAATAATATCTCAATAGTTAAGAGCTTGAGCTGTTACGACCAGGGGATCAAGGAGGTGACCTATGTAAAGCTTTGACCCCACTTAATTAGCAAATAAACCTTAATAATTGCTCAATGTTCCATAAACAAAACAACATTATTAATCTCCCATTTAGTCTGAATTCTTTAAACATATATAGCTACACAAATAGTTTTAATTGACTTGCTTGATCATTTTTTTTACCTAGAATTAACATGGACATCTTTTTTTATGTGACCCCATCATCACAGTAAGCCCACCTCAATTTGAAGAATCAAAAGAAAAGAGTCAACCAATACTATCATGATGTCGCTTTAGCAAATACTTGAACCTCCTTGTGCCTACAAATAGAGGATATAACTCTTATTTATGCAAGCACTTATGATTAACTTGGATGCCTTGCACTCTACCCTTAGAATGAGGCAAAAGTGGGATCCACTTCCCAAAGTAATAGTAGAAGCATGGCCTAAATAAATTTAGGATGAGTACTAAATAAAGAAGAAAAAATTTTCCAAGCCTTTGGGATGTTAAATATGCATAACCTTACCTTATTCCATACTAATAACCATATGAATCATTTAGGTACAATGATTCTGCCTACACATATGATATACAAGGTTCATCCCTCTAAATTCCAAGATGCCTAATTGATTACGGTGAAATAGAATTTTGATGAGCCGATAAAAACGCGTGATGGGATATTACATTAACAGACCTCATTAGCCTTTTTAAAAATCATAATGACTAAATTCAAATTATACCTTCTTTATTTTTTTAATATAGTTCATTACCATAGTTTTTCATTTCCTTTCTAATGCATGACTTCATAAGTTATTGAGTTATTGATTTTTAATTCTCAAACATTATGGTGTACTATAATTTCTTGGAGTTATCCATGTTGTTAACTTGAATTTGATTCTTTTGTATGGGTTAATGGACCACCATAAGTTATCATATCTATAGCTTACTAATATCCATAAGTTATTATATCAATACATTATATCAACACCTTCTTTTAAGGAAGGGTATAATATGTGATCAACAACAAGCATAGTGACATCATTTCAATTAAGTTAGACCTCATGAAATTTTTTTTTTTTTTTTGAAATTTTCATATAAAAAATAATTCTCTTGTAACATCTCTTTTATCTGTCTATATATGCTGGATCTTTGTATTCTGCTAAGATAATAAACTCTTTTACATTACCACTATGAATGTTCTTACATGCAAATATTAAAAGAAAATAGTTGACTAAACTACTACAAGAGAAGCTACATTTATGTTATACGAAAACAAAAAAAATGGCAAGAACTTAATGGTTGCTTCTTGTAAAAATGCATGTGGTGTGTAGTTAAAATATCCAAAAATATATATTAATTAATTGAAGGCCTCATTGGATGGAATCGCCAATTGGCTAATGATGTTGATGAGTCGTTTTGATAGATCTAGTGAACATGGCAAATATCTCATGATGAGCATGGGTGAATCGACTTATGTTTTGTTTGGGATGCTTTTTTTTTGCTGCTTTCTAAAGTAGCTTTTTAGTATAAATTTTTTTAATTTAAAATTTTTTCGTACCAAAAAACTATTTTAGAAAACAGTAAGAAACTTACGTTTGCATGATTTTTTATTGCTTTCTAAAGTAGCTTCCTAATACAAAAATTTCTAGTTTAATAATTTTTTGTACTAAAAAGCCGCTTTATATAGAAAGCACTAAGAAAGCTATTGCAAGCGAAACCTATGGCTTCTTTTAAGATGGCTTTCTTATTACTTTTTAAAACAAATTTTTAGTACAAAAATTTATTGAACTAAAACTTTTCATGCTTGAAAACTACTTTAAATATTTAAAAAGCTGTAAAAAAAATTGTCCCAAATGAAACCTAAATTGTTGATTTCTCATTTCTCAATGACTCGCTGAATAGAAAAAATATATAGTTTTTGGTTGAGAAAAAAAAAACTATTTAGCTCCAAAACAAGCTCGGATAATAGCATCTGGCCCTTTGACACTTCTGTTGGATTCCACAATGGTACAAAATGTTCTAATCTCGCGAGGGACCACTTATTGGTATCAGCATTTCTACCTCTATTAAATTATGATATTATGTTCTTCAATTATCGGATCAAAACAATTTGTGCTCTCTAATATTATTAAATAATTAAGTTAGCTCATATTCATCATTTCAAAAAATTTTTTAATTTAAAATTTTTTTTGTACCAAAAAGCTACTTTAGAAAACAATAAGAAACTTATGTTTGGAAGATTTTTTTATTGCTTTCTAAAGCAGCTTCCTAATACAAAAAATTCTAGTTCAATAATTTTTTGTACTAGAAAGCCGCTTTAGAAAGCAATAAGAAAGCTATTGCAAACGAAACCTATTGCTTCTTTTAAGTTGGCTTTCTTATTACTTTTTAAAACAAATTTTTAGTACAAAAATTTATTGAACGATTTTTTTTTAATTATTTTTGTACTGAAAAATTATTTTAAAAAACAATAAGAAAGCTGTCTCAAAATAAGTCCAAGACTGACAACAACAGTTCTATCTTCAATTCTTCATAAGGCTTCATTTGGTACCGTTTTTCTATTGCTTGCTAAACTAGTTTTTTAGTATAATTTTTTTTTTTAACATAATGAAAAAGCAGTCCAAAAGCTATCACAATCGGGTACGACTTTCTTACATCTTCTTAAAGCAGCTTTTTAGTCTAAAAAATTGTTTTAAGAAACAATAATAAAACCGTCTCAAACGAAACCTTAGGCCTAGTATCCTCTTGAGACAAGTTCATGATAATTTTGGCAACTTAGGCTTTGTTTGGGACGACTTTCTTCCTGCTTCTTAAAGCGTCTTTCTAGTACAAAAAATTAAAAATTTGTACTATAAAACTATTTTAAGAAGCAGTAAGAAAGCCATCTCAAACGAAGCTAATATAAACGAAGCTAATATAAGTTAGGAGACTTTAACACCAATTCTACAAAATTCATATGTGCTATGATAAATTCATATTAAACCTAACGAGTTGTTCATAAATAATCTAACAACTCTTTTAACTTTTACCGACATAATAAAAAATATATAAATCTTTTAATAAGTTATGCAATGTCATCTTACATAATATAAAACATTATCTTCAGCCTTAAATAAATTCCGAATGAAGCCTCGAGAAAATGATCACCATTCGTTGCTTTTACTACCTGTGGCCTAGAGCTGCTCTACGTGCCTTCTTTTCCGCGTCCAACAGTCTTACTCAAACCACCTCCCTAATCACGATATTTACACAATTCATCTTCATAATAAATATATTTATTTATATTCTAAACCCTTATCATTAGCACCTATTTAACATCATTAATATCATTAACAGTACAAGTGGAGCATTTACTCATAATATGTACGTGTTTGAGATTATATATATAATTGAAGAAATAATATTTTAATTTTCATTTAATTATATTAATTTTTTGTAGTTGCTAATTAAGTTAATTTTTAGATGAGTATAATATATATTTTAATTAATTAAATATTAAATGAATTTAATTATTATATAAATAATATACATCAACTATAGTACTAATTTTATTATGAAATCATGTGATAATCTACTCCCCACTGATTTCATATAGTTGTTCAATTTCTTATAGATATTTTTTGGTATGCTTATGCTAGTGATCAATATCTAATAATTTAGTTTTATTTTCTTATGCCTTGCAAATATTAATATAATTTTGTTATGAGATTTCATATAGTTTAGTCAACCCTGTAAAAATTTTCTATGAATTTTTTTCTAATAATTTTTTGTCTTTATTATATTGCTAAATATCTAATAATTTAGTTATATGTATCTTATAATTTAATTATAATAATAATTTAGTTATATGTATCTTATTTAATTATAATAAGAGATAATATGTGATAAATAAAATTAATTATGTATATAATAAAATTAATTATGCACGAGCTCATATATATATTATTGTGTTACAAGATTCTTTGCAATAAAATAAGAAAGTTTTGCATCTTATGTATAAATAGATAAATGAAAAGAGTGTGGGTGCCACCAATTTTTTTTTTTCATGAAAATCTTAGGTTTTATTTGGGACAGCTTTCTACCTGATTTGCAAAAATTCCAATCACAATTTATTTTTTTCCATTAAATTATTTACTATTCTCAAAAAAAAAAAAAAAACTGAGGTGCTTTCTTAAGTAGCTTTCAAAAAAATTACTTTCGTTATAGAAAATTGCGACGGTTCCAAATGAACCCTAAGATTTCATTTGGGACGATTTTTTACTGTTTCTTAAAGCAGCTTTTAATACAAAAATTTAGTTTGCATACTAAAAAATCTTTTTAAGAGGCAATAAAAAAGCCGATCTCAAATGAAATCTAAGAAATTGTAAAAAGCCACGGTCTTCATAAAGCTGAAATAAATTCACAAAGGCTTCGTCTGAGACGGCTTTCTTTATGCTTCTTAAAGCAGCTTTTTAAACAAAATCTAATACTTTGTACTAAAAAGCTGCTTTAAGAAGCAGAAAAAGAACAGTCCCAAATTTGACTTTTTTATTACTTCTCAAAGCACTTTTCTAGCACAAAAGAAATCTGGCAGGAAAAAAAAATCATCCCAAATTGAAGCCTAAATAGTCATTGATTATAATGCTTTATTGGTTCCCTGATTTAAAGAATACGAGATTACAAGAGTATGTAAATATTAAATAACATACATATGTTTTTATGTCATATAATTTACTTTTTGTACTAATATTTTAATACAGTTTTATACTTTTATCTTTAATTTATGCGGGCAAATATCACTTTTTTATGCTTATTGGAACTATAAGTCCAGTCGAAACATATTTAAACCTAATTACAATTTCATTCAGTTCGAAACGGATTAAAAATCTTGCTTCAATTTTCGAGCGACGTATATAAATATATATATATCTATATATCAACCTCTCTCTCTCTCTCTCTCTCTCTCTCTCTGCTTCTCAACCACGGCTTCTGCTCTTCTTCATCAATCGGACAGCTAAAAAAGAGAGATGAGTCGGTGCGTTCCAAGCTGGGACCTCGACGACCATCTTCTCCACCGCCATCACCACCATAATACAACTCTTCCGTCCTCCGCCGCCACCGCCGACGCCACGTCAGTGGACTACGACGTCACGGAGCTGACTTGGAACGACGTCGGTCACCTAACCGTTCTAGGCCTCGGCAAACCCATCCCCCGTTACCCATCTACCGCCGCTTCCACTGAGGCAGCCAGCAAAAGCGGCTGCAGCGGCGGCGGCGGCACACTTGAGAGCATCGTTGACCAGGCACGCAGCGGGAGCCACCAAGCCGCAGCCGACGCGATGGTTCCCTGTTCCGACGCCAGCCCGAGAAAGCCGACCAGGGTCGACGGTACGAACTGCACGAGTACTCAGGGGAGCGCGACACCAACGGTGGCGGCGGGGAAGAGGACATCGCCCCTGCCGTTGGCGGGAGATGAGGATGAAGAGCGTTCTGGTGGTGATAGAGCGTCTCCGGAGACGGAAAACGGTAGCTTCGCCGGAGAGAGGCCGTTGGGTGTTGACGAGCATGATTCCATTAGCCATACTCTGCGCTCTCAGGCAAGTCTGTATGCTTTAGAAATTATCTAACAAAAATAAAATTATTTGCATAAAACTTCACAAAATTTCTCTCCCCCCTTAAAAAAAATTTATATAAAACTATCGATCACTGTACTGTAGCAACTTGTTATGACATTCTGAAATACTGTTTTGATCCAAAAGGAGGAGGCAATTAATATCAGGCAAATAACTTATATTTAGTTTTAAAAAATCATTATGTCATTGACTTTAATAATTAATTTAAGGGTAAATTGGACTTTTCTTCCTTCAATATGATAATTTCTTGTTTAATTTACAAAATAAGATAAGCTATATATTGTGGGTTGTTTATGAAATTTTTTATTTTATTATCCTTTTGCATAAAATATTCAAAGTATAAGCACTAAATAGTTAATTTTTACTCTTTGGATAATGAGAAATAATTAAAGCATCTTATCTTTAGGGAGGTTGGTTGAATTATTTGCCCTCATTTAATGGATTTTGGATTCAATATGATTTAGGGTTTTAGTAATTAATTTAATAATATAGAAAATAATACATAAAAAAAGTTCATTTTATTTTGATAGACAAAATTATATACATTTTTGAATAAACGTGCATTGTACTTCTCTAATTTTTGGGACACAAAAATAAAATTAATCTTAAATTCAACTTTCATGTGATTTTTTTTAGACTGTGTAGAGTACTTTCATACAACAACATCAAGTCTTTGTCTCACTACAAGGGGTCGGCTACATGATTAATCCTTTTTCGTCATTGTGTCATGTTAAAAGTCAAATTCTCATTTAAATCTAATAAAGAAATATCATTTTTAATATTTTCTAACAAAGTCTTTTAGGTTTACGCTTATCTTTTTTAACATAAGTCAAATTTAATACCTCAACTTTCCTAATCGGATCTTCGGAAAGCCTTCGTTTAATGTGACCAAACCATCTAAGGCGACTCTCTCTAATCTTATCTTCCACTGGAGCTACTCCAACCTTTTCAGGTATATGCTCATTTCATATTCTATCTCTAAGGGTAAAGCCACTCATCCACCTAAGCATTCTCATCTCTGCAACACTTAACTTAGTATTATGATTCTCTTTAATGACCAACATTTGGTACCATAAAGCATTGCAAGTCTCACCACCATCTTGTAGAGTACTTTTACAATGTTTTTTTTTTTTCTATTCATTTGTGTATATTAAATAAAATTTATTTTTTTGGTATATTTTTGTGGATAAAAGCGGAATGGATTGGAAGAAAGAGGGATAACGCCCATCTCAGCTAAGAGAAGCCGAGAAGCAGCTGTCCACAACCAATCAGAACGTGTAAGAATGATATATTATTATTTATTTATTTATTTGTTGAATTACTTTATTTTCTATCTTTTTTTCCATTTTTTAATTATTATTGCATTATGCATATATATGCTATATACAATGATTATAATCTATGAGATAACTTTAATTCCATAATTAAAAAAAAATTGTGTGGAAAAAAATCATTTTATCAAAATTTCAAATTGTAATCATATATTTCAAGAATATAATTATTGATTATGTAGCTCTAACCCTAAATAAATAGGCACCATTTTATCAAATTCATGAATGAATTATTTGCCATGTTATTAATAAAATCATATTTCCTTAAAAAATTAATTCTTATCACATAAACAATATGAATATTGATCTTATTTTCCTAGAAAATTTAGATCAAAATATTCTAATACAAATTATATTAAATAGTCATGAAAAATATTGCACTTTCTTTGAAATTATTGTAATATTAATCTTAAAATAAATCCAATAATAAAAAATCATCAACCGGCTAAGGCTTCATTTGTGATGATTTTCTTACTAATTCTTAAAACAGCTTTTTAGTACAAAAATTAAAATTTTTATACTATAAAATCGAAGAAGCAATACTAAAACATCATAAACGAAGCCTAAACCATCAACTTATTTAATATATATTATTTGAATGTTCAACATAATATCATATTTATGTGTTTAACCTTATTAATAAATAATTTTTATTCCTCACAAGCGACGCATGACTTCTTTTATAATTGATGCCTTTGGCATCCAAAAAGGTCCAGATATGCCAACTAGATTTTTCATTCTTATCATTAAATTTATGTGGTTAATATTCGATACATCATGAAGGACAAAGAAAGTTATTTCTCACATGCAATGGACCCTACAATTGAGAAGAAGAAAAAATTGAAGTAAAATAATTAATTTTGCTTAAAAAATTGAGTGCTAAGAGAAAATTCATGTCATTTTCAATAATAAATAGAGCAAAAGATTTTATTTTGCATAGAAAAATGAGAGACTAAGAGAAAGTTCAATGTCACTTTCATTAAGATTAAGATAGAGGGATTAATTTGGAAAAGATTTGACTGGACCACCTCCATCATAATAATGATATAAAGTTTTGAATTTAAGAGCTTTGAAATAGCTTTTTTATTGATTTTCAGATAGCAATCATAATTTTATTTGACTACCACCTTCTTATTGCTTTTCAAAGTTTTTTATAGCTTTTTTTTTTTTTTTTTTGTAAGCAGAATAATTAAGTTATTTTTCTCATAATAATTTTATAACCAAGTTTATAAAATACCACAGACTCTTCAATTAGGAGAAATTATTCTATGCGGATGCTGAACGTAGCTCTACATTCATAGGCTAATCAGAATGAGCCACATAATCAATACAGAGCGCGGTACCGAGCTGTACTGAGCAGTACCGAGCAGCGGTACTGACGTGACTCATTTTAGTTGATCTCTGGATGACATTCGATGTCCACACAGAAACATAATAATTTCTCCTTAATAAGACCCTAAGATACAAAGAATATTTTTGTTTATTTTAAATAGAGAAAAGTTCTTTTTGATTATACATTTTACTGCAGAAAAGGAGGGACAGGATCAACCAAAAGATGAAAACTCTGCAAAAGCTTCTTCCCAACTCCAGCAAGGTATCAAAAGCTTCTTTTACAAAGCAACTTATTTAATTTAAACACCCAGTCATCTTATCATATAAATTCATTACTCCATTATCCCTCTTTCTCATTTTTCTTGCATTGCAAAGACTGATAAGGCTTCCATGCTGGATGAGGTGATCGAATATCTCAAGCTGCTGCAAGCTCAGGTTCAGATGATGAGCAGGATGAGCACCATTCCGACCATGATACTTCCATTTGCCATGCAGAATCAACAGCTTCAACTATCGATGATAGCCCAGATGGCTCAAATAACCCGAATGGGCTTGAGCCTCGGCATGGTTGACCCGGGCTTGCTGAACCCGGCACCTCCGCCGCCGCCAATTCTCCACCCTTCCACCTTCCTCCCTCTTCCATCCACAGCTGCAGGTGCTTGGGATGCCCGGGCAACAGAATGGATGCAGCAGCAGGGCCGCCGGCTCCTCCCCGACATGCTCCCGGCTTTCATGGGTTGCCCCACCCAGGTAGGAAACCTGCCTGATCCTTCTTTTTCCGAGTTTCAGCAACTTAGCTGTGCTTTATGATTGTTTTTGCAGCAGCAACCAATGAGCTCAGAGGCATACAGCAGGTTGGCTACATTATACCAGCAGCTCTATCAGCAGCCTCTTGGATCCAACCAGAAGCCTTGAATTACTTTACTAAAGTATGCATTCGTTGCTGTTAGGCTTCATTTGAAATGGTTTTCTTACTGCTTCTTAAATCAGCTTTTTAGTAAAAAATAAAAAAAATTATGTTAAAAAATTGCTTTAAAAAGCAATAAGAAAGCCGTCTCAAACGAAGCCTTATTTAATTCTATCACAATGGACGTAATTAGAACAAGATAGTTATTGTGCCTACTATGTCTTTAACATTGTCTACTATCAAAATGGTAGTAGTATTTATGTAATATGTCTGTAATGTTTGACAATGTTGTTTGTTTATATTAATTTTTTTAGATAATCAACAGTTCATAATTAGCTTGATGAGTTATCAGACCTGTTCTAAAAAAAATGTCTATCTTCTTCACAAGGCAATCTTGAAACAGCTCAGAGGAACAATAAGCAGAGAAAAGCAAGGTAGATAAAAACGAGGAATTTACACTTATTGAAATAACTTCACATCCAACAATGAAAATATCTAATATCTTCTAAAGTTAATTGTGGAATACTGAATAAAATGTGTCTGAGAATGTTATTCTTTGCACAGAATAAAAGGGGAAGAACATAGAATTACTGCTGTGGGATCTTCAAGATAAACTCCTGTGCTGGGTATACTAAAGAAACTTCAGACAAAGGAGCTGATTGCATTAGAAAGCTTAATCCAAGACTCGAGCGTATTTATGGCTTTCCCGGATCGATGTGTCTCTTGAGCAAGTGCAACACCATCTTCAAAGCTGTCGGCAAGGCCGCTTACTAGAAGAGCAGCAGCTGCGTTTAAGACCTGAAGGATACAGGAAAAATTTTAATCATAAAATAATAAGCATTTAAGGTAGTTAGTACACCAAAAAACACATGGTATTTAACTATTTATTTGAAGAACAGATTTGTTAAGTAAGCTGAACAATGGCAAAGTGCTCAGTGGTGGTACCAGCTGTAATATCAGTTTTTGCTCCAGGTTTGTCCGGACGAAGTCGGATCGTCCGGGACGATCGGTACAGGTTGTGCAGAGAAAATCATGTTTGGCTGTATGGTTCGTCTGGACGAAATCAGGATCGTCTGGACGAAAATAAGTCAGAGAACCCTTCGCCGGGGACGATATTTGATTTTCGTCTGGACGAAATAATTCTCTTCATGGATCGTCCGGTACGAAGCTCGATCGTCCAGGACGATCAGTCTGGATATATATAGAAATGAGATATTTTGAAGAGAGAGAAAAAGTTGAGGAGAGAGAAAAACGAAGGAAAAAGTGGAAAAGTGGATTTTCGGGCGACGCCGAGCTGTTTTCGTCCGAAGAGACTGTTGAGGAAATTGCTGTACGCAAGGTAAGGCACAATCCGACTTTCTCAATTTTCAGAACCGTCGAGTTTGGCTGTCCGGAATTAAGTTTTGTTCGCGATTTTCGTCCGTAATTTCCGACTGGTTTAGTTTCTACCGCGTAACTTTCTGTATTTTGTTGAAGTGCCGAGTGTGCACATTTTGGTTATTTTTTTAAGATTTTTCCGGGTATTTTTGATTCGACTGTGTTTTTAGTCGACTGGATTTTTCTGTGAACTTGGAAATTATCTGTGTAGTAGAATAAATGTTCTAAAATGTTGATATCTATATTCTGTGCGAATTTGGTGAATTTTGATTTTCAGGAAAATTGTGTAAATTTTGTATACTGCCGTTGTGCTGCCCGATTTTTGAGTAATTTCTGTTTTGTCCGGAAATCTTCTGAATTGATATGCTATCTGTATATGCTATATAAAGGGAGTTATAAGGGGCCTGGATCCTATGAGATTCAGTTAGTGTCTGGGAATTCTGAAATGAGCTCAATATGAAATCTGATATCTGTTCTGTTCCGGATCCGAGGAAACAATCTGTTTAGGTGCTATATGCACTATATATGTATTCTGGTGCTATAAGCACATCTGATCTGATCTGTTTTGGTGCCGTGAGCACAAAGGGAGGCATAAGTGGCCTGGATCCTATGAGATTCAGTCAGTGTCAGGGAATTTAGCTATTAATTAAATATCTGATATCTGCTATATGATTCTGATATGATTTGTTCTGTTCCGATATGATCTGTACGATTCTGATTCTGTTGATCTGATGTGTCTGATCTGTTATGTTTCTGATTTGATACAACTTCCATTTCCGTACAGTTTTGTTGATTTGATATCTGTCCGAATCTGTTTCAATTCTGTACGGATTTGTCTGCTGTGTTGGTTTTGAGATTCTGAGGATTTTGATTGGAGGTTTGTTGCTTTACTGAGCTGTTGAGCTCACCCTTGCTTTCTGGTGGTTTTCAGGTTCTGGGAAAGGCAAGGAAGTCCAGGATTAGTTCAGAGTCTGATCAGTATAGGTACTTTTGTACTTTTGATTTTTGTACAGTCATGGCTTTTCTGTTCTGTCTTTCTTTCTGTCGAAAGCCATGTACTGTTCTGTAGATGATTGTTTTGAGGAAATGAAATCGGATAGATGTTTTGTTCCGCTGCATTTGATGATACATAGTAGCTCTGTGTTTGTTAGTCTGTGTGAATTAATTATTTGGAAGATTCAGTTCCGAACCAAATTCCAAAGCTAGATCCTGGTTAGTGCAGCTCCGTCGCGATCCAGCACGGGCGGGATCCGTCTCGTCTCGGGTCGGGTCGTGACAAGCTTTTTTGGTATCAGAGCAATGGTTTTGGAATTTGAGAATTTTGTGAAACAGAGCTATAGGAAGTGATCAGTAAGTCTGTCTGGGGGGTAATTTTGATTTGTTTGGCTTTTTATTTTGTTGTTTTTGTGATAGTTTTCCGGATTTTCTGGATTTTTCTGTATGGATCAGCCAGACCCAGACATGACAGATGGTCAGAGTGCCGATCAGGCAGCACCAGTGGGGAGTACAGCCCCAGTGGTCGGTGCTGATACGCTTTCTCAGTTTGCTTCGCTGGTTGCTCAGATGATGAGCGAGACTCAGAGTAGAGCTTCTACTGTCAGATCTGATGACCTGGATAGACATTTGCAGTTGTTTTTGAGGTTGAAACCTCCGAGGTTTGAGGGCGCTGTTGAGCCCAGAGCTGCTGAAGAGTGGCTGAGGAGAGTGGAGAAGACCTTTGACGGGATGCAGTGTCCGTCAGACAGGAAGGTACCGTTAGCAGTTTTTCTGTTAGACGGAGAGGCTGAGCACTGGTGGGACGGCCAGCAGGCAGCCAGATTTCAGGGCAGACTGAACTCTTTGATTACTTGGGAAGAGTTCACTGAGGTATTCCGAGATTGGTTTGTTCCCCCTTCTGCACGACAGCAGATGCAGGAGAACTTTCTGAGGCTTGTTCAGGGGAGCAAGACGGTGATGCAGTACGAGGCTGAGTTTACTGCATTAGCCAGGTACGCTCCGCAGCTGGTTAGCACTTCTGCTGAGAGATGTTACAGATTTCTGAGGGGATTGCGAGATACCTTGAGGCAGCCCCTGATACCATTCCGGATTACTGATTTCTCCGAGCTTGTGGAGCGAGCTCGATTGATAGAGAACGACTTGATGGCTACTCAGCAGCGGTGGACTGCGAGTAGGAAGAGGTTTGGAGGCGAGGCATCTGGCAGTGGTTCCTCCGGAAAGAGGAGATTTGTTTCCGGTTCTGGATCTGGAGATTCCAGAAGGAGCGGAGGATCGTCTGGTACTGTTACCAGTACGACGAGTTCGGGATCAGTCAGTTCGGCACCTGTGTGCCAGAACTGTGGACGGCGACACTTCGGCCAATGTTATAGGATGGCTGGTCTGTGCTTCCGATGTGGTCAGTCAGGACATCGGATTGCAGAGTGTCCGCAGATGGGATTTGATCAGCGATCTGAGGGCTTTGTCAGACCTGCCGGTTCAGCAGGAAGACCGAGGACTGTTCCTCCTCGCCCTGAGGGATTTGCTGGAAGAGGTGGTGGTTCTAGTTCTGCACCACGGAGACCACCTACTGTTCAGAGGGAGCAGAGTAGTTCCGTTGCTTCAGCTCCTGTTCCAGTTCAGCCACGAGTTTACAGCTTGAGTCAGCAGGAGGCTCGAGATGCTCCCGATGTTGTGACAGGTACGATTTACATTTCTGATCAGCCCTGTCGTGTTTTGTTTGACTCTGGAGCGAGTCATTCTTTTCTGTCCGAGCACTGTTTTGAGGCTTTACGTTTGGATTCTCTTTTACTTCCGGTTTCTTTGTCTGTGATTTTACCGGCTGGGAATCCTTTGATTGCTCGGCAATTTTGTTTGTGTGAGATCGAGATTGCTGGCAAGAAGTGGAAATCAAGTTTGATTCGGTTGCCGATTTCATCGTATGATGTAATTCTGGGCATGGATTGGTTGAGTCAGTATGAAGCCCAGATAGACTGTCTGAAGAAGCAAGTGAGTTTGCTTATGGCTGGAGAAAGAGTTGTATTTCAGGGATTACGAGGTGTTCTCTCCAGTCTGATTTCGGTATTGGAAGTGAACAGGATGTGGAAGAAGGGATGCCCAGTGTTTTTGGCTTCGGTGCGGGATTTGAACCTAGAGGTTGGTTCTGTTTCTGAGATCCCTGTGGTACGGGAATTTGCTGATATTTTTCCTGAGGAGCTGGTTGGTTTACCTCCGGATAGAGATGTGGAGTTCTCTATCGATATTTTTCCTGGTACCGCTCCGATATCGAAAGCTCCGTACAGGATGGCACCGAAAGAACTTTCTGAGTTGAAAGTTCAGCTTCAGGAGTTGGTTGATAGAGGTTTTGTGCGCCCTAGTGTTTCGCCCTGGGGAGCACCTGTTCTGTTTGTGAAGAAGAAGGACGGTACACTCCGTATGTGTATCGATTACAGAGATTTGAACAAGGTCACGATCAAGAACAAGTATCCTTTGCCTCGGATTGACGACTTGTTTGATCAGCTTTCCGGATCTTCAGTATTTTCGAAGATTGATTTGCGATCCGGATATTATCAGGTGAAGGTGAAGGAAGCTGATGTGGTGAAGACAGCTTTTAGTACTCGGTACGGGCACTATGAGTTTTTGGTTATGCCTTTTGGGGTAACCAACGCGCCTGCTATTTTCATGGATCTGATGAACCGAGTATTCAGGGAGTATCTGGATCAGTTTGTGATCGTCTTCATTGACGATATTCTGGTATATTCTGCATCTGAGGATGATCATGCCAGACATTTGAGGATTGTGTTAGAGACTTTGAGGCGGCATCAGCTGTATGCCAAGTTCTCCAAGTGTGAATTCTGGCTGAAGAGCATTTCTTTTCTGGGGCATGTGATTAGCGGAGAAGGCATTTCTGTAGATCCCCAGAAGATTCAGGCAGTTGCTAATTGGCCAAGGCCGACTACGGTATTTGAGGTACGTAGTTTCTTGGGCATGGCTGGATATTACAGGAAATTTGTGAAGGGATTTTCACAGATTTCGACGCCTCTGACGAGACTGACTCAGAAGTCAGTACCTTTTGTTTGGACACCGGAGTGTGAGGCGAGTTTTCAGCGATTGAAGGATTGTTTGACTTCAGCTCCAGTGTTAGCACTTCCGTCAGGTACGGAAGGTTTTCAGGTGTTCAGTGATGCTTCACTGAAAGGACTGGGATGTGTCCTGATGCAGCATGGTCAGGTAATTTCTTATGCTTCTAGACAGTTAAAGCCACATGAGAAGAATTACCCGACGCATGATCTGGAGTTAGCTGCAGTTGTGTTTGCTTTGAAGATTTGGCGTCATTACCTGTATGGCGTCAGATGTGAGATTTTCACTGATCATAAGAGCCTGAAGTATATTTTTACTCAGAAGGATCTGAATCTGAGACAAAGAAGGTGGCTCGAGTTGATCAAAGATTATGATTTGACTATTCAGTATCAGCCTGGTAAGGCTAATGTGGTAGCAGATGCCTTGAGCAGGAAGTCTTCTGGATTATCAGGTATTCAGCTTACTTGTGATGACTTTCTGATTCGTGATATGGAGCGTTTGCAGTTGGAAGTGATTTCCTCCAGTGGTTTGGAGTTGGCTCAGATGAGTATTCGGTCTACTTTGGAAACAAGGATTCAAGAAGCCCAGAAGTCAGATTCTGATTATTCGAAGTTGATTGCTCAGATTGGATCTGGTAAGACTCCTGAACTTCGAATTTCTGATTCTGGTGCTATTTTCTGTAAGAACAGGTTGTGGGTACCTGTGTTTGGAGACTTGAGGCAGGAGATTCTGTATGAATCTCATCATTCAGGCTACACTGTACATCCAGGCAGTGGTAAGATGTACGCTGATATGAAGCTTTTGTTCTGGTGGCCTGGGATGAAGAAAGATGTAGCAGAGTTTGTGTCGAGATGCGAAGCCTGTCAGTTGGTAAAGGCAGAGCATCAGCGACCAGGTGGATTGTTGCAGTCGTTGCCTATCCCTGAGTGGAAATGGGAGGAGGTAACGATGGATTTTGCGATGGGTTTCCCTCGATCTAGACAAGGGCACGACGCTATTTGGGTGGTTGTAGATCGATTGACGAAGTCAGCCCATTTTCTTCCGATCAGACAGACGGATTCAGTTGATCGCTTGGCACAGATATATGTGAAAGAGATAGTCAGATTGCACGGTGTGCCTCGTGTGATCGTATCTGATCGAGATGGACGTTTTACTTCCAGACTTTGGAAAGGCATTCAGCAAGGCTTGGGTACAAAACTGCATTTTAGTACAGCCTTTCATCCTCAGACCGATGGACAGTCTGAGAGGACTATTCAGGTACTGGAAGATCTGTTAAGACTTTGTGTTCTGGACTTTAGCGGAAGCTGGGAAGATCATATTCCGCTGATTGAGTTTGCCTATAACAACAGTTTTCAGTCCAGTATCGGTATGGCACCGTACGAAGCTTTGTATGGCAGGAAGTGCCGTACTCCTTTGACTCTGACGGAGGTCGGAGATAGGCAGGCTTTGGGAGCCACTTTTGCTGATGAAACTGCTCAGAAGATCAATTTGATAAGAGAAAGATTGAAAGCTGCTCAAGATCGACAGCAGAAGTATTACAATCAGAAGCACAGATTTGTAGAGTTTCAGGTTGGTGACTTTGTCTAATACCTCTCTACTTTCCTAACCGGGTCATCGAAAGGCTGCCATTTTATGTGACCAAACCATCTAAGGCGACATTCTCTAATCTTATCTTCTACTGGAGCTACTCCAACCTTTTCATGTATATGCTCATTTCGTATCCTATCTCTAAGGGTAAAGCCACTCATCCACCTGAGCATCCTCATCTCTGCCACACTGAACTTAGTATTATACTTCTCTTTTAATGGTCAACATTCGGCACCATAAATCATTGCAGGCCTCACCACCATCTTATAGAATTTTCCCTTAAGTTTGAGGGGTACTTCTCTATCACACAACAAGCCAATGCATTCATCCACTTCAACCATCCAATTTGAATTCTACTGATAATATCCCCATCAATATCACCATCACTCTGAATAATAGATCTCAAATATCTAAAACGTGTACTTTTATTAATAACTAGATCGCCCAAAATCGCAATCCCCTCACTAGGTCTATTACTACTAAAATTACACTCCATATATTCTGTTTTAGATCTACTCAATCGAAAACCTTTAGACTCTAAGGTTGACCTCCATAATTCAAGTTTACCTTCAACTCCCTCTCTAGTCTTATCAACAAGAAGAATGTTATCAGCAAAAAACATATACCAAGGTACATCCTCTTGCAAATGTCTAGTGAGAACATCCATGACTAAAGCAAACAGAAATGGGCTTAAGGTTGATCTCTTTTAACTACACTTTATCAAAACTCGTAATCATCATTTATTTTCTTTTGATTTACAGGAAAATCCTATAAGAAGCTAAGCAAGAAAGAACTTAAAACTAACACCATGTCTTCCATGAATATCCTCGTCCAAGCTATAGGATGCACAAAATAACTACAAAGCCCATAATCATGGCTCCATTGACTATGTCCATCCCCAGCTCACAACCACACTTGTCTAGGACACTTGTAACTCACCTTGAAGAATCCGACTCTCCCTAAGTACTCGTTCCTAAGGAATCACCTAAGGTACTCGCCCCCGAGTACAATTCAAAGGTAATTGTCAAAGATGCCCTGAGCGACGTTAGCAACAGGATCATGTGGGTACCTTCCAGTCTTGTCCACATGTCTATTAAGGAATTAAAGATGCATATTTTAGACATCATGACATTTTCACTTTTCATAGAGATTATTCAGTCTCTCATCTCCTCTCCATCTATTCACATGTTTTCTTGTCCTATTCTCTTGCTCTAGCTAACCCAATTTATTAGTAGGGCCAGGTGTCATTCACAAACAAATTTAAATCAAACACAATTTAATACTATTTAGTCTTTAAAAGCTTTGAATAAATATTTGAGATAACTTTAAATAAAATTTCTAAATAAGGATGTTGAACTCAAGAAGTTGATCAATATCACTACCATTTGAATAGTCACCGCAAGGATTGAGGGGTACAATGGTTGAGGAATAGCTCAAAAGATAAAATAATTACACAACCCTCTCATCTCCTCTCCATCAAATAGCTATGATGTCAAAATAAACTGTAACTACTAATAGATGACAATAAAATAGGTTGTAAATGAAAGTTACATCTCCAGCAAATTCATGAAAATTAACATAAGTATTGGGACAGAGATGACTACGGAAAGTCATTTTCCGTCAGATAGAACTATTAATGTTGAGATTGTTTAAACAGAAGCAAAACATAGTATAAAAGCTAATGCTTGAAAAAAAATTTGTGAAAAAGATGATCATAGAATAGAAGAAAATGGAATATCCCGCAAGCAAATCCAAAACTAGAATAAAAGTAGGTTCTCCGGATGAACATGTTCAGCAATAGAGACATAGAAATTAAGTATTTATAGTGAGAATATATTTGAATGCTGAGAATTTAAATGAAAGGAAATGGTAAAAAAATTAGAAAAGCTTCAAATTAATGGTTACAGATTCTTATGAAAAAGATTCATAATCAACCCACGAGTTACTGGGGATTTCATTTCATTCCCTTTACTTTCCTTTAATCCAAACAAAGCCCATGTTATATAGTTATATGGAAGTTGTGAACATATCTCTCGCAGTGTGACAGCCACTGATATACACTGTATAAGCATCAATAAAATAGATTTGTACAAAACCTGAAAAATATGCTAACTTCACTAAAGAACTAATAACTAAATTTATACATTAAAATACACAATTAGTTTTACATATTAACAAAGTGGCTCTTAAAACATTAAGCAATGTTTAATCATGTTTAATCAAATAATTTCCCACATAATAATTGATCAATGATTTTTAGAAAATTTGGCTTAAATGAAATAGTTGCTCAAATCTTATAGTACAATATATATCGAGAAACATGCAATAACTCATAATAAGTTACTTAAATGAAGTATTTGCTACCTCACCTGCTTCCCTGATTACTAGTGACTCAGTGAGTAAAAAGAAAAAGAATAAGGCCATGCATAAGTTATCTAGAGCTTGGTATCAATTTGTTATCAAGATTTAACCAAAAGAAGGACCCAGGGAAAGGATATAGAAAAAAAAAATGAAGGGAAGAGTTACTTACAAGAGCATCAGCAACTGATCCCTTCTCACCAGCAAGTACATTCCTAAGAACATCTGCATTGTATTTCGGTTCACCTCCTTTAAGGTCAGTGAGAGAGCAACGAGGAATTCCAAAATTCACTGCAGCATAAAGATAAATTAGCTCTCATGTTTAAATAAAGCTTAATGGAAGATGATAAAACACTATCTAGGAGATGAGGAAAGCTTATATCACATTCATTTTCTACAATAATTACCCACATAAAAAATTATATGCAGCTGGCAATCAGAAACAAGAGATCCACAAAAATTGATGATAGGGTGCGTGCTTACATGGATCAAAGTTTAACTTTTCAATCTTATCCTGCGTAACATCAAGGAGATAACCAGATCCTGACATAAACATACAAGATATCGATTATTGTGAGATAATTAAGAATATTAAGAGAATAATTTAACAGAAAACGATTGCTTGATGAATAAGTCAATAACTGAGAAATCACAGGAATAAAAAATAACAGTAAAAATAAATTAATAATTCTTTAAAGCAATGATATATCAACACCATATCATACCAAGTGGACTAATTTCATCAAGACCTTCTGAATGAACTACCAATGCTCTTCTCATTCCAAATCTTTGCAATGCCAAGGCCATTTTCATCACCTATTGCAAATATTTAGCGTATAAGATGGGATTTATCAATTATAAAAATCAGAAAACTAGAGTAAACCATTAAGAAATTTGGTTCCAAAAACATAGTATTTCAATATTTTGTCAGCTAGCAATGAAAACTCAAGAAAGAAGGAAATAGCATCTATATGATCCTCTTATTTCTTAGTATGCAAAGTTCATTAACATCCAACAATATAAACTTGGTAATTTTTACTACATTGTTAGCTTAGTTTCTGACTTCAATTTCTATGCCTTGCCAATTCATTCGGCCCATTTGTTGGTTCAAAGCACTGCCTTCTTCAATGACTGTTGGTCCAATCCAAACCTAATGCATTTTCTTGAATGTGCATAACTATTGATTCTTCCGTATCATAACAATAATCAAAGAGTTCCATCCAAATTAACAGATTTGACATAATTTAAACTCAAGTTAAGGTAAAAAGCACTTACTAAATCTTCATGATAGACACCAACAACAGCGAAAGGCACTCGGGCAGGATTCAACATTGGACCAAGAATATTGAATACAGTCTTCACTTTAAGCTTCTTTCTCACTGGACTGACCGTCTTCATTGCAGGGTGGTAAATGGGAGCCATCATAAAACCAACACCTACCTCTTCCACACATCTTTTAACTTCCTTTTTTGAAATGAAAATGAAAAAAGATCATTCAGGATACCGAGGTCCTAAAATTATTGAGCTGTATGTATAAACAATAATTTTACAGTGATAAAATATGTACAGTGTACAACATCCACAAATAGTATTTTACTCCATACATAACTATTTTAGCATTAGAATTCAAATGCTAGTGTACCAAACAGATATGATATTGTGATAGCAGGTAGAACCTAAAGTGTGAGCTTGAAAAATATGCTGTCGTTATAACAAGAGAACAGAAAGATCTCTATTCTAAATTCATCATCAGAAACTATTAATTGCTATGAAAATCAAGAGTTGAGAAGAACTAGCCATACTGGTAGCTAAAGAAACACTTGTCGCTATTAGAAAGAATTGTGCTTTAATTCAGGAAATGAAATTCACAAGTAAACAAGATGAAGATAACTCTTTATCTGTTTACAAGGATTATGCCTTTAAGATTTTAATTTTTCGTTGACACTTCACCCTGTAGCACACAACAACAACATCAAGCCTGTCCCACTACGTGGGGTCGGCTACATGAATCCTTTTTCACCATTGTGTCCCGTTAAATGTCAAATTTTCATTCAAATCTAATAAAGAAAGACTATTTCTAAAATTTTCTAACCAAGTCTTTTTAGGTCTACCTCTATCTTTCTTAATATAAGTCAAATCTAATACCTCAGCTTTCCTAATCGGGTAATCGGAAGGCCTCCGTTTAATGTGACCAACCCCTCTAAGGCTCACATGTTTAATTTGATTCAGGATTTCTTGACTCAAATTTGACCAGGATATTGGATTTGAGTTGATGATAGAAATACACATTTTGATTGATTAGATATATATCATACTCATTTTGAAGTTAATCCAATGGCTTTGGCATCCATCATGACCAAATTTCAGTCAAGATTTCTTGATCAAAAATTTTTCCATCACTAGGCATCTTAAAGGTGAACAAACATAGTGGATTAAGCAAGAAAAATGTTAAGATGTTTGACATAATTTAGGAGATCATAGGTACTCTCCTCAGTCAGCTCTAATCCAGCATCAAACGCTTTTATAACTGAGATTTGAAATTCGCTAGAATGCAAAATATGGCCAAGAAGACAAAACAATAAATTCTCACATCCACAGAAGCATAACCATTTTTAACCTAGAACCCTAGCATTACCTCAGGGCCTAATTCAATGTTGACACCCAACGCCTCCAACACATCAGCACTTCCACATTGTGAAGAACTCGATCGATTCCCTTGCTGCAATAAAAATTGATAGAATCATTAACCTTAAAACCACTTCTTCATGATACATCACAGCAACTCTGATAATTTCGTCAAGCAATAATCTACCTTGGCTACTCGAGCACCAGCTGCTGCAGCCAAAATAGAGGCACCGGTGGAGATATTGACAGTGTTTGCTCCATCACCACCAGTTCCAACAATGTCAACGGTGTTAACCAAGCCCTCAACTTTCAGGCAGCAATTGAACATTGCCCTTGCCAGACCCACGATCTGTTAAAAAAGCATAATAATATCCAATCCAAAAAGAAACAATCATCTCTCGCGGGCCAAAACAACAAAAGTGAAGAATAGTTTAGCTACCTCCTCAAAGGCCTCCCCTTTGGCTCTCAGGAGAACCAAAAAGGCGCTGATGAGCGCCTCATTGCTGTCCTTCAGAAGATAATTAAGAGAGAACTCGGCCTCTTCTTCAGATAGATCCTTACGGTCAATTAGAGCCTCGATCAACTAATAAACCACAGATTTAGGGTTAAGAAAATATAAAAAAACAGGTAAAAATGCGAATTAAGCGGAGCATAATGGCAAACAGCAGAGCATTTATACCTCCTTAAATGATAGAGGTGATGACACCTTGCTGGCAGATAAAGGGGGAATTTGTAATCTCCGGGGATGGTAATGAATTGGAGGGAGGGGCACAGATGGGAGGCGGCGTGGGGCCGATAGCCGCACCCTTGACTTAAATAAGTAAGGAGGAGCAACAGATCCACAGACCGCCATTAATATGACTCACGTTGTTGCACAGTGCGAGAGACGAGATGGCCAATGGCGTTATACAATTTGGATAAATCAAATGGAGAAATTTGGAATTTTTCTTGACGGAAAGGGAAGGAAAGAAGCTTTGAATCCTTTGATCATTTAATGATTTGGGCCTTTGGGGTCTGGAGGAAGAAGGCGAATTCTACCTCATTTGAAAGGAAATAAAAAAGATTAAAATGAATTTAGGTCAGATATAGCACTGGACTTGAAAGAATATTCTCTCTTGACATTTAATAAACTAGTATAATTATACACGCATTAAATGTAAGTTAATAAAATTAAAAAGTTAAATAATATTATAAATTTTAAATATTATTTAATTAATTCAAATTTTTTTATCAAATAAATAAATTTTTATTACAATTAATTGTAAAAATAATTATATCCTCAATCTAGGACAAATGTGTTTGAAAGTTTGAATAAATTAGCAATAACAATAGTAGTTGTTCAATGAAAAATTTAGTAATATATGCATAAAATTTATCATAATTAAAAAATAATTGGACAAAACATTTATAGAGAGGAAACATGTAAGCATAATAACTGAATTATTAGGTGATTAAATGATTTTTCTAATGGATACGTCAACAAAAATCATCTTAGTCGCACACGATTATCAAAGCGTATTCAAGTTGGAAACTTTCAAATTTAAATTTGAGATCATATGAATTCAAATTTCAACAAACTTATAGTCAAAATGAAAGTCTCGAAGATAACTTAACAACACAAAAATTAGTCCAATTTGAGCCCAAATGGGCCCAAATCGGGAACCCAAATTATATTTGGAAAATTCAAAATATTATTTGTATGACAATATGATATCCAAATATGACATGCTTATAGTCAAATCGAGCGGCTCTGCGAGACGAATCCAACGAGCCCAAGATCGTTGAATTCTGACATCGATAAAACATGTAAATAGTTGAAAAATATTCTATGATAGTGGGAAATGGAAATCAATACGGGCCATCTGATCGAGCACTCCGAAGCTGCCCCAGATCTTCTTTATATTTATGGGGTGTGCCTCTCATGACCATTGTCGGACCACCACCATGCAACCAATAACCAACAGACTTTCACATGACCACCAACCACCATCGAACATTTGCCCCGCCACCTCCATACTTCAACCCGACCATTGTCGGACTACTACTCGACCGCTGGTCGCCGGCAACTGCTGGACTTCCACCTGGGCATCGACCGACATTGGACTTTAGCCCGATCATCGTCGGACCACCACCCGGCCACTGACAATAGCCGGACTTTAGCCCGACTGTCGTCAGACCACCGTCAGACTTCCACCCGATTGCTGACAACCACTAGATTTCAGTTCGACCTTCGTCGACACCGCTCATCCGCCAACCACCGTCCGACCTTCGTCAGATCATTCCTCGTTAGCTGAACTTCTGCCTGACTATCGGCAAGCCTTTGTCCAATAATTTAAACTACTGTAATTTGACCGCCTCCAAGTCAAGGGACGAGTCAACCTTTATAATTCACTCAAATTTTGTGAAATCTTTTCACCTAGATAAGATCCCCATGGCTTTACCTCTTTGGGCTTTCCATGTGAAAAAGATCAAACGTTTTACTTCTCTCTCTGTTTGTGTGCTGGATATCCGTGCACCGCTAAGACGAAAAGTTTACTAACTCCACTGACACAAATATTCTAGACTACAATACTAATATATTGCACACAGAATCTTAATTGATGATCATCTGAACTAGTTGAAGAAGAAGAAGAATATGATATATATATATATATATAAAAATAAATAATTTTAAAAATTGAATATAATATTCAATAAAATATCACAAAATTTTAAGAGCTAGAATTTTCTTAAATACAGTATATAAATAAATAAATAATATACAAAATCAAAATCTTAATAATCTAAATATTAGACATTATATTTACATAATCTCTAGAATTCCATTTAATGATAATTAATTTATAAGATGAAACAGTTGATGCTTAAGAGATAATCAAGCAATGGTATTGTAGGGGCCGTTGGCTTTCATTGTTATAGTAATTTTTAAAATCATTCAAAAAATTTCAAAATTATTTTGTGTATTTTTAAATAATTTATTTATTTTAAAATGAAAAAAAAAATAAAATAGCTAAAAAATACATCAAATAAGTATTATTTTTTCCAAAAAAAAAAAAGATACCTAATAGGCCTTTGCAAATGCAATACAGTTAATAAACAAATTATTAGTAAAACAATTATGAACATATATTGATATTTTTGTACGCATCTATGATTATAAATAAAATTATAAGCTATTTTATTCTTTGCAGAATCTATGTAACAAATTATTATATTAAGAAGTTCTCAAGATCGTGTAAATAACAACAAACACTAATAAAAGAAACTATTACATAAATTTTTTTTTTGACGATCACACCGAAATACCTATATGCATGTACCATAATTAGATACAATAAGAAATATTTTAAATTTAATGTGAATATTATAAAAATATGAAAAAAAAAGAAATTACATATTAATTTGATTCGTATAAATTATATGTTGCTTCTTAAAAAGTTGATTACATACTATATATTTGTATTACTATAAAATTAAACAGTTATAGAGAGATTAATTAGCTGGCAAATTAGAGAGTTTAGCTTAGAAAAAGGGATTAAAATCATAAATACCCTCACATTAATATGAACCTAAATTTTATATATGAAAAAAATGTAATTTGCCCCTAATTTTTTCTTTCGAAAGAGAGAGGAAGGTTGGCCTTGTATTGTACAAGAAAAAATTGATTGCACTTTCTTCACAATTAAGGTTTCGTTTGGGACGACTTTTTTACTGCTTTTTAAAACGGTTTTTTAGTACAAATTTTTTTATTTTTGTACTATAAAGCCGTTTTAAGAAGCAGTAAAAAAGACAATCCAAACGAAGCCTAAATTAGAGTGAAAACCGCAACGGCGGAAAGAGGATGTAGTCATCAACTGGGTGAACATATAAACTTTGTGTGTTTTTACACATTGATCTTCTTTTCTACTTTTATTTTTTATTTCTCTCTTGGTGTTTGAGATAGATCTCATCTACATGAATCAGCCAAAGAAATTTAAAGAATATGAAGAGCAAGAATATTAGAAGCCACATCAATGACAACTCGAGCATATTGCAAAACTTCATCCTCCTTTGAAGTTGGGGTGTCAATTTTTGACACGACCCGAACCCAATCAGGAAAAATCCGATTTAGGGTAAACCCGGATCCGAAACTGGTCGGATTCGGGCTCAACAAATCAACCCGTTTTAAAAATCAGGTCTGGTTCAGGTTGACCAAGCAACCCGAAATTGACACGAAAACTCCTATTTGACTCTGAAACCCGAGATTGACCTATTTTTTACTCGATTTTGACCCGAAAATCGAAGATTGACCCAATTTTTTACCCGAAAACTAGCAATTTTAGGTCAACTTTGGGTCATTCGTGTCGGGTCGAGTTGACTCGGACCCGAATCAGGTCGGGTTCGGGTCCGAAAACCTGACCCGTTTTTAAAAATGGGTCGGGTTCGGGTTGACCCGAATAATATCGGGTCAGTTCCGGGTTCGACCTGATCCCGACCCGTTGACCCAAATTGATACTCCTACTTTGGAACCCCACTGTATTCTGCATAATTTCCAACCAGAAAAAAAAAAAAAATATATATATATATATAGAACTACTGCGAATAAAAATTGAAAAATTATCAAAATCTAAAAATTTTCAAGAAAAATTAAGAGCGATATTAAGCCATACAACTATTAGGAGTCAAGACACAAATTGAAAATCTAGATTGAAGCTAAATCACAATCAAACAGTCAAAATATTAACTAAATAGAAGAGGGATAAAAAAGAGAAATCAACAAAGTGTTAGTTTGGCCTTTGTTAAATTTTTGCCCTACAAAGAAAAACGTGCCATATCCGCAAAATCAAAAGACAGATAAGTATGAGAGGAAATTGAAATTTTATTAAATAAATTTTTACATGTCTCACAGATCCTCTTTAAACATAAAGCAGTAGCAGGAATAGCGTGGAAATTATAACAAATTATTAAGCTTGCAAATTAAAATTTAATGTTTCACAAAATTAGATTCTAGGATTTCTCATTTAAAGATCTTATAATAGCATGCAGTTATAATAAAGAGGAGTGAGAAGTTAAAATAAGAGTAAGTTAAGTATTGCAGAGATGAAGATGTTTATAGGTGAATGAGTGGCTTTACCCTTAGAGATAGATAGGTTACGAAATGAGCATATACGTGAAAATGTTGGAGTAGCTCCAGTGGAAGATAAGATTAGAGAGAGTCGCCTTAGATGGTTTGGTCACATTAAATGGAGGCCTTCCGATGACCCGGCTAAGAAAGTTGAGGTATTAGATTTGACTTATGTTAAAAAAGGTATAGGTAGACTTAAAAAGGCTTGTTAGAAAATATTAGAAATGATCTTTCTTTATTAGATTTAAATGAGAATTTGACTTTTAACATGACACAATGGCGAAAAAGAATTCACGTAGCCGACCCCACGTAGTCGGACAAAGGCTTGATGCTGTTGTTGTTGTTGTTGTTGTATTAGAATAAGTCTTCAATTCATGTAATAGTATTTAATTGTCTGTGCATGAAAAAGACCTATAAATACAACTTTTTTTTATACTTTTAAATTCATTAAGTATAAATTATTATTACTCGTGCAATTTTCATGTGGAAATACTTGGTTGTTGAAGTTTGGTGGCTAATTCTTTAGAATTTTGGCTAATCATATGTTACTAAACAACTATTTACAAAATATTTTTGTTGCAATTTCATAAAGCAATGCCCTTTTTCATACAAGGGATAATTTATTGTTATGTGTAAATAGACCTTATGCAATTTAAAAGATTAGAAACAATAGCTTAATAATGGCTATTTTTTAAAAGGAATAAATTAGAATCTGATATCTTTGGTCAGAAGTCAAATCGCGCCAAAAAACGAGAAATGCCGAGCAATACCAAACAATAACGAGGAATACTATCATGTGAAGACTCAATACCGAATTATATCGAGCTATACCGAGTAATACCGAGTTATACAAAAGTTGTACCGAGTTTTTCCTAGAAAAAAACTCTGGTACAACACGGTATTGCTCGGTATAGCTTGGTATAACTAGGTATTGATCTTCACAGAGTGGCATTCCTCGTT